TTTTTCTCTTGTTTTTGTTTTCTGTTTTACTGATATCTACCTACTCTGATCTTTGTTATTTTATTTCTTCTGTGAGTTTTTAATTTGCTCTTCTATTCTAGTTTAAGTTGGAAGGAGATGTCATTGATTTGAGACTTTTTTCTAACACAGGCATTTCCTCCTCTAAGCTACATCCCACAAATTTTGGCAATGTGCATTTATATTACATTAGTTAAAAATATTTCTAATACTCCTTTTAATTTTGTGTTTAACCTATGGGTTATTTATAAGTGTGTTATTTAGCTTCTAAACATTTTGGAATTATCTAGATAACTTTGTTATTGATTTTACTTCAATAATTCTATTATAGTCAAAAACATACTCTGTATGACTTGGATCCTTTTTATTGAGGATTTTTTTTTTTTTTGAGTTGTGGTCTTACTCTGCCACCCAGGCTAGAGTACAATGGCATGATCACAATGATCATGGCTCGTGGCAGCCTCGACTTTATGGGCTCAGGTGATCCTTACTCCTCAGTATCCCAAGTGGCTGGGACTACAGATGCACACTACAATGCCTGGCTAATTTTTTGATTTTTTACAGAGACAAGGTTTCACTACGTTGCCCCAGGTTGGTCTTGAAACTCCTGGGTTCAAGCAATCTGCTCACCTTGACCTCCCAAAGTGCTGGGATTACAGGTGTGAGCCACTGTATCCAACTACTGAGATATATTTAATGGTTTAGAATATGGTCTATCTTGCTAAAAGTTCCTTGTGTACTTGAAAATAGTTAATATTCTGTGTTTGAACAGTGTTTTTATAGATGTCAATTAGGTCACATTGATTGATAGCATTATTTAAGACTTCTGTAGACTGACTTACTTTCTATTTGTCCTAGCAATTATTGAATTAAGTTGGAATCTCCAAATATAATTGTAGATTTGTCTGTTTCTCCTTACAGTTCTGTTAGTTTCATTTCATGTATTTTAAAGCTTTACTAAGAAGTGCATAAATGTTTAGGACTATTGTCCTTCTTATGAATTGATCCTTTCATTATTATGAAATGACCCTCTATCCCTGGTAATATTCTTTACTCTGAAATCTACTTTGTCTGATATTAATATAGACTCTTCAGCTCCTTTTTTTTTTTTGAGTTGGAGTCCCACTTGGTTGCCTAGGCTGGAGTGCAGTGGCACACTCACAGCCACCACAGCCTTGATCTGCTGGGCTCAGGCAATCCTTTCGCTTCAGCCTTCCAAGTAGTTGGAACTACAGGCATATGCTACCACATCCAGCTAATTTTTTTATTATTGTAGAGATGAGGTCTCGCCAAGTTTCCCAGGCTGGTCTGGAACCCATGTGCTCAGGCAATCCTCTCACCTTGGCCTCCCAGAGTGCTGGGGTTATAGGCATGAGCCACCGCGTCCAGCCTCCAGCTCTATTTTATTAGTGTAAGCATGGCATCTTTTTCCATCCTTTTGCTTTTATTTTATTATTTTATTTTATTTTTTTGAGTTGGAGTCTCACTCTGTCACCCAGACTGGAGTGCAGTGGCTGCTCCCAGCCACCGCAGCCTCGACCTGCTGGGCTCTGGCGATCCTTCCGGCTCAGCCTTTCAAGTAGCCGGAATTACAGGCATGCGCTACCATACCCGGCTGATTTTTTGATTTATTGTAGAGATGAGGTATCGCTGCCCAGGCGGGTCTCGAACCCGCAGCTCAGGCAATCCACTCACCTCAGCCTCCCAAAAGCGCAGGATTACAGGCTGAGCCACCAAGCCTGGCCATCCTTTTGCTTTTAATCTTTCTGTCTTTATACCTAAAGTGGGATTCTTGTAGACCACATACTTGTATAGTTGATTCTTGCTTCTTTATTCAATCTAGCAATCTCTGCTTTTTAATTGAGTTGTTTAAACCATTTACATTTAATGGGATAATTCATATAATGGTGTTTAAATATATCATCTTGATAATTGGTTTCTGTTTGTCCATTGTTCTTTCTTCCCTTTTCCTCATTTTCTGCCTTCTTTTGGGTTATTTTATATCATTTCATTTTATCTCCTTTTTTGGCTTATTATAACTCCTTGTATTATGTTAGTGCTTCCTTTTATTTTTATTTATTTATTTATTTATTTATTGAGTTGGAGTCTTACTCTGTCACCCAGACTGGAGTGCAGTGGCCGCTCCTGGCCACTGCAGCCTCGACCTGCTGGGCTCTGGCAATCCTTCCACCTTAGCCTTCCAAATAGCTGGAACTACAGGTGTGCATTACCATGCCCGGCTAATTTTTGATTTATTGTAGAGATGAGGTCTTGCCAAGTTGCCCAGGTGGGTTTCGAACCCACAGGCTCAAGCAATCCACTCACCTCAGCCTCCCAAAGCACAGGATTACAGGCTGAGCCACCGAGCCCGGCGCTTCCTTTTATTTTTAACTTATCAGTCTATCTTCAAGTAATATTATGTCACTCCACTTATAGTATGACATTACAGCAGTACATTTACATTTTTCTTGTCCTAGCCTTTGTGATATTGTTGTCATACATTTTACTTCTACATAGGTCATACAGTATGTTGTTACTATTTTTCCTTTAAAAAAATCAATTATGGGCCAAGTATAGTGGCTCATGCCTGTAATTCCAGCACTATGGGATTATAAAGTAGGATCGCTTGAGGCCAGGAGTTTGAGACCAGCTTGGGCAATATAGCAAGACCTTGTCACTACGAAACATAAAAATTAGCCAGACTCAGTGGCGCACACCTATAGTCCCAGATATTTGGGAGGCTGAGGTGGGATGATGGCTTGAGCCCAAGACTTCGAGGTTACAGTGAGCTATGATCACACCACTGCACTCTAACCTGGGCAACAGAGCAAGACCATGTCTCAATTAAAAAATAAAAATAAGCCATTACCAGGCCATTGTGGCCATTGCCTTGCTAAGCTATGACCAGGCCATGTTTTCTTAAGCTTTGGCCCCCTCCCCTGCCTTGGGGAGGTGAATCTTCTCTTTCTCTTCTCTAATTTACTTTCTAAATAAACTATAATTTCTAATCTAAAATAAATAAAAATAAAAAGTCAGTTACGTTTTAAAGGGATTTAAATAATAAGAAAATGTCTATATTTGCCCATGTAGTTACTATTTCCAGTACTCTTCATTCCTTTGTATATATCTAGGTTTCCATCTGTTATCACTTTTCTTCTGCTTTAAGAATTTTCTTTAATTTCTTATCAGCTGATAATTCTTTCACATTTTGTATGTCAGAAAAGAATATTTATTTCATCTTTATTTCTAAAGATCTTTTTGCTAGGCAAAGAATTCTAGGTTGAAAGTTGTCTTTTTGTTCCCTCAATACTCTAAAAATTTTGTTCCCTTTTCTTCTAGCTTATGCTGTTTCCAAAAAGAAATCTGCTGTAATCTTTATCTGTGTTTCCTTGTGCATAAAACTTTTTCCCCCTCTGTCTGCTTTTAAGATTTCTTCTTAGCCGGGCTCGGTGGCTCAGTCTGTAATCCCGCGCCTTTGGGAGGCTGAGGTGAGTGGATTGCCTGAGCCCGTGGGTTCGAGACCCGCCTGGGCAGCGAGACCTCATCTCTACAATAAATTTTAAAAAAATCAGCCAGGCGTGGTAGCGCATGCCTGTAATTCCGGCTACTTGGAAGGCTGAGGCGGAAGGATCGCCGGAGCCCAGCAGGCGAGGCTGCGGTGGCCGGGAGCGGCCACTGCACTCCAGTCTGGGTGACAGAGTGAGACTCCAACTCAAAAAAACAACAAAAACAAACAAACAAACAAACAAAAGATTTCTTCTTTATCACCTGTTTTAACCAAATTAATTATTATGTACCTTGGTGTAGCTTTCTTTTTTGTGTTTATTTATTGATTTTAAAGATGTGGGGTACAATTCAGGATTAGGTATACAAATGGTCATAGTACAGGTAAAGTTTGGGCCTCCCTTTGGTCCCCATAGTAGAGGTAAAGTTTGGGCCTCCCTTTGGTCCCCATAGTAGAGGTAAAGTTTGGGCCTCCCTTTGGTCCCCACTTCTCCTGGTTTGAGATCTGATACCCTTATTGATGTTAATTGCCCCCCCCAATCCCCTGGCAGTGTCCTGCTACTGCCAATCTCTTTCTTATAGTATTATGGTAAATGTTCAGGATCTGCTTGAGTGAGAACATGTGGTACTCAAGTTATTTGTTTATGTGATCACTGAGTATTATAGACTCTAAATCCATCCAGGTTGCCATGAAGTCCAATGTTTGTCCTTCTTTATGTTTGCATAATATTCCATCATGTATATGTACCACATTTTTTTTAATCCAGTCTAGTTTTGATGGGCGGCACGGTTAGTTCCATGTTCTTGCTATTGTGAATAGTGCTTCAATAAACACATGTGTGCAGGTATCTTTTTGGTAGAATGATTCGAGTTCCTCTGTGTATATTCCTAGTAAAGGGATTGCTGGGTCATATGGAAGGTCAATTTCGGTATAGCTTTATGTTTCTTGGGCTTGGAGTTCATTGAGCTTATTAGATCTACGGGTTTATAGATTTCATCAAATTTGGAAACATTTCTTCAAATATACTTTCTGTTCTCTACCTACCCACTTCTTTAGATTGTCCAATTACATGTATATTAGGCTACTTGAAATTGTCCCATAGCTCACTAATACTCTTATATGTTTGTTTTTTAGCCTTAAAAAAATCTGTGTTTCATTTTGGTTAGCCACGTATATGTATTATTCCTACACTTTACTGATGAAGAAACTGAGGTTAAGAAAGATTAAGTACTTCCATAACAATGCCAACAACTAGTTAGTGGCAGAAATGAGATTCAGGTGATATCTAACCATGCTCATAACCTCTAGGTAATACTATGCTCTATAAGATTTTTCTAAACCACAGCCTTCCTTGCTAAAAGGCTAACCTCAGATTATGCAGTCTAAAAAACTTGCACCTACTCACCCTGAATTCAGGATTTCCAGATATCAAAATGGGAGATTTCCACCAAAATGCTGATTATTACTTTACACTTACCTGCTTTACCTCACATGAGCAGTGGTGAAATTGGTGCTGGGTGATTTCATGAAATACTTTGTGCAGTTTGCTCCGGAATTCCTGTGTGTCAGCTGCCTAAAATGGGCCAGAAACAGAACATGCTGAGTTTTAGTACTGGAAACCAAGAGAGAAATTCTCACAAGAAATTTGTGTATAGGGAGAGGATGAAGCAGATAGGAAGGCAAACCACTGGCATTGATCACATTGTGTTAGGAGTTTCCTTAGTCTCTATGAAGGCAGGAGAGGAAGAAAGAAGGCCTGAGATACTTAGCACGAGACAGGTAGTTGTAGCTCCTGTAAGTCTTCCCACTGTGTCACCTAAGCAAGATCCTTCAAACAAGATCTCTGTTCTCCCATCTCCATAGGAGATAAATACCCAAGAAATCCATCTGCTCATGAAGGGGTTATATAAACTGCTCTTCTATGAAACAAGTTTCTAAGAGAGCAGAGGTTCCACTGAACAACTGAGGGTTGATATGAAACCTCTTCTTCAGATAAGCCTTTTAGGAAGGAGAGGAACAAAAGAATACAGTTTGCACCCATAAGGAATGGATAACAACTTTCAACTTTTTAATATATAGTTGTAGGATATTACAGTTAAAGGGAGCCAGACTCATCACCTACTGTAACACACTAATTTTACAGATGAGAAAATTAAAATTCAAAAATGATAAGGGACTTACCCAAGATGTTATAGCTAGTTAATACAAAATTTAGGGCTTTAATGCATACCTTAGAATTCCCAATATAGTATTCCTCTCACTTTGCTGTGCTATCCATATGACTCAGAAAGTTAAAACTATGATAAAATGTGCTAGCTTTGACCCATAACTCCATGTATAGACATTTATTCTAGGAAATAATTCTAAAGAAAAAGATACCACATAAAGAGATTAAGTGGAGCACTATTCACAGCAGCAAGAATGTAAACAACTTAAAAGTGCTAACAGGGAAATGGTTTATTAAATTTGATTAAAACAAGACAGTTGAATTGGTTAATCTAAAACAAAATTTCAAAGACTGTTGAAACAGAAAAATGTCAAATTATATGAAAACATAATATTTTGGTTACAGCTATATAATATATATAATAAGCAAACATTAAAAATTATAGTGAGCCGGGCTCGGTGGCTCAGCCTGTAATCCCGCACCTTTGGGAGGCTGAGGTGAGTGGAATGCCTGAGCCTGCGGGTTCGAGACCCGCCTGGGCAACTTGGCGAGACCTCATCTCTACAATAAATCAAAAAATTAGCCGGGCGTGGTAGCACGCGCCTGTAGTTCCAGCTACTTGGAAGGCTGAGGTGGAAGGATCGCCGGAGCCCAGCAGGTCGAGGCTGCGGTGGCCGGGAGCGGCCACTGCACTCCAGTCTGGGCGACAGAGTGAGACTTCAACTCAAAAAAAAAAAATTATAGTGATAAAATTTGTTAAAATTTGGCATGTTATACTATCTTTACAAGAAAAAGATGCAAAGAAATAAATCAACAACCATGGAACGAATGGGTTATTCACTGTGATAATACCAACTGGTTGGCACACATTCCTAAAAGGAAGGAAAGAAACTAACATTTATTGAGAACCTACCATATGCTTCTTTCACATTGTCTTAGTCCATTTGGGCTGCTATAACAAATTACTGTAGACTGGGTAGGTTATTAAGAAATTGAAGCCGGGCTCGGTGGCTCAGCCTGTAATCCCGCGCCTTTGGGAGGCTGAGGTGAGTAGATTGCCTGAGCCCGCGGGTTCGAGACCCGCCTGGGTAGTGAGACCTCATCTCTACAATAAATCAAAAAAATCAGCCAGGCGTGGTAGTGCATGCCTGTAATTCCGGCTACTCGGAAGGCTGAGGCGGAAGGATCGCCGGAGCCCAGCAGGTCGAGGCTGCGGTGGCTGGGAGCGGCCACTGCACTCCAGTCTGGGCGACAGAGTGAGACTCCAACTCAAAAAAAAAAAGAAATTGAAATTTATTTCTTATAGCCCTAGAGACTATAAGTCTGAGGCCACAGTGCCAGGGTAGTTGAGTTCCAGCGAGGGCCCTTTTCTGGGTTGCCAACTGCCCACTTCTCCCTGTACCTTTACATGGCAGAAGGGGCAAGGGTCTCTCTAGGGTTTGTTTGTTTTTTTTAAATAAGGGCACAGATCCCATTCATGGGGGTGGAGCTTAATGACCTAATCACCTTCCAAAGGCCCCATACCTCTTAATACCATCTCCTTAGGGGTTAGGATTTCAACATATGAATTTTGGGGAGATACAAACATTCAAACCATAGCACACATTTGGCTCTCACCCTCACAATAACTCTGTGAGGTACTATTATTTTTTCCAATTTTTAGGTAAGGCTCCAAGAAGTTAAATACAGCCCTAAGTCCACATAGCTAGTAAGTAAATGAGCCAGGATTTGAACCTGAGCCTCTGATTCCGAAACTCTTTATACCATTTCATACTGTCATGTAACATGTAATACTTAGGACTACTCAGTTATTTCCAGTATATTCTGTCACCATGAGATAACAGAGCATTCTTCAACAAGGAATTGGGAATCACTGACCTATCTCTAGCTCTGCTTTTAACTAGTTGTGTAGCCTAAGAGAAGTAGAAATCTTAAATAACTCATTTCTCACTTGTAAAATAGTATGCATACTAGTATTCATTCAACAAATATTTCTGAAAACACATAGGCCTGATATTCTGTAGGATTACAGTCGAAGTAAATAAATGTTTTTAAAAGAACCATACATATTACAAAGATGTATCATTAAAATGTGGAATGTCATTAAAACCCCAGAATTTTTAAGCATCCCCAATCTCCTACTAACTTGAAGGGCCTGGAAACACATATTTCGGAATCTGCTGCTGGTGCTTCCAGTCACGATACTCATGATGGAATTCACAGCCACTGAGAGTGAGGCCTGCAGTTTCTGATGAGCCTAGGGAACATGACAAGTAAGGGGGAGACTGCATTAATCCCGTGATGTTGGTTCAGAAAATCCCAAAGGGGCTAAATATTTTAGTCAGAGTGGAATTTCAACCATTCTTCCCCTCCATCAATCAATCAGATCAATGATTATTTTTACATCACAACACTTAGGGATGAAAATAAAAATTAAATGTTTTCTCCTTTCACAGAGATGATTTATTAACACAGACACATTCAGAAAAGACAAGCAATAAGATTTGGTCAATAAAACAGATATACTTACTATATTTTTTAAAGCTCCAAGTTTTACTCTCTTAATGTGGTTGTTTTTTCCCTGAAAAGGGAGCCATATGGAATAAGAAATGTGTTATCAAGAGTACACAGGATGGGTGAATTCAGAAAGTGGTATTATAAAGAATTAGGATAATGGGGGATTTAGCAAAACAGCAGCTCCAGAAGTATGCATGAGAAGGGGGGATATAGTATAGATAAGGAAGAGGCACATTATCAGTTATTTTCCTCTATTATCTGTTTCCCTGTTTACTTAAACATACCTACTGGGAGGTAAGACTGAGCAAGCTGGTTACAGTCACCCATCTAAGTTAAAGAATGAGTTCCAAGGTTAGATGCAGTGTTACAAGATCACCCCAAGTGACAGAAGAGGAGACAAAGGGACAATAAAGGAAAAAGAGCTCTTGCTGTCTTTTTCTTAGTGAATAGAGAAAAGAGGCTGTAAATTTTTTATTACCTTGGAAACCTGGTGATGCTGTTCCAAGACTTGGTCCACAGCAAACTGTATGGAATCTTGCACTACCCTGTGGTTCTGCACAAGGATGGCACTAAGTTGAGTTGGGAGCAAAGTATGTACTCCTAAGGGGAGGAGAATATTGGTAACCATGAGCAAAGATGATGACTTCAAGATTTATGAAATCCCCCATTGTCCTCTGTGCTCTGAGTCAGGGATGGGGGGAGAAAGATGCCTCTTTCACAAATAATTACTTTTTTAGACAAAACTCCCCAGCAACTTATAAACCCACTCAATTCCCACTTTAAAATGAAGAAAGCTCAGGAAAATTAAAGTGAATAATGATATTATTTTTGAAGAAAAAAATGAGGGATCATGTTTAATTCGTAGCAGAAATATATGCCACGTTCTGTAAACAACAATACTGACAACTTCCAAAGGAGAGGAAAAAGAGGGAGAGGAAAAGCCCCTAGAGTGTGTGTCTAACACTACTGTATTGCTCTTTGAGCATCACTACTGTGACAGTTCTTTCAGCTATTCTGGGGCAAAGAAAAGGTTAAAACTCACAAAGGTGATTCTGATAACTGTTGGTAATAAGGTCAATTTTAATAGGGGGCTGTCCCTGTTAAAGCAATCACAGGCACCACTCATTCAGAAAAGCGAACATGTGACAGCAACGGGCAAAAAGATGGCATCAAAAACAATAGGCTGCCATTTAATGATCCTGATGCAGCAGACCCAGGAAGCCAAATTCACTTTAAAGGTCACCTGAAGAAAATGCATCTTGATTCTTTGTGTTTTCAGTGTTCTTCTACTCTTCTTAGATAGTCTGTTCAAAGATACTATGGTGAAGTAGCCTAAGGCTGGCTGGCTTTTCTCAGGACTGCATTAGAAATGCAAGTCAGAAGAACATTTTCCACCACAAGACACCATAATACTTTCCTGGCAGGGAAGGTAACAAGCATGCGGCAAGCTCAAAAGGAGAGTCAGGAGCACATAGACTCTAGGGTCGATTCTACCACAACCTAGTGGTGGTGAAGTCACTTCACTGTTCTTCAGTGTAGAAAAATGGCTTTATATCACCTACTCTCACAGGTATAAACTAGGATAATGGATGTGAAGTGTTCTGAAATGCACACTGCAATATTCAATGGGAAAATATTGCTATGATTATATATCATCTGGATTACTATTTTCCATTGCTTGGTCCTAAGAATAGCTCCAAGAAATCAAGCACTTTTAAAAAGCAGATATTTAATTTAAAAAGCCAAAGTTCATACCTAAAACTGCTGATACCACCAGATGCTTCTGACATTGTGGCAAAATAGTGAATTAATTGTAGAAAAGTAACCATGACAAGGTAAGCAGAAGACTAATTAAATGATTTTTTTAAAAAAGACACATAGAAACAGACTGTAACTTTGTACAATCTGTTTTCTAAAAGCAGCAGCTCTGGAGAAAGGTTTCAAGGATATAAGAAAGAAGGGGGGAAAGAAAAGGTAAAATTTTTACTTTATCTACCTCCCCTCACTGTGACTTTTCTTCAGAGGCTAATCCTAAACTACCAGATGTGTAATATTTAAGAATACACTTACTATGTTTACTAACGCATTGATGAATTTCTTTTTAAATCCAGTACTGAGTATAACTACTGAGATTCTGCAGGCCTTTAGAGTTAAGCTAAACAGAAGTATACAAATTATCACAGTACTACAAGAATGATAGCTATAGCTGGTTTCTGAGGAATCTGAGTTCTTAAGGTATGTTCAGTAGAACTCAACATGGTATCAAGCTTGTGTTATCTGAGGATTATCCTCTGGCAGATCTTAAAAAAAAAAAAAAAACCTGCCAGAAGGTAGCAGATCTTAAGTCTTAAGAGGGTTTTAGACCTGGAAGGGCTTTTGATATTATCTAGTCTAAAAATCTCATGCTAAATATATGAAAAAGGAGGCTCAGATGATCTATCTAACTTGCTTTCCCAAAATCATTGAGGAAGCTGGTATCAATGCTAAAATTAAACCCGGGTCTCTTAATTCTAACCTGAAGTCCTTTCCACAATACTAAGCTGCAGCTCTTATCAGCCGCTGTCTATATGAGCACAGGCCCTAGGAATCCACATTGGACCACCTTGCTGGAGCCTATTAGTTTGGGTTTCTTCTATTTCCCATTTCCCTGGCCTTGATCAGTGGGGCAATGGGGGCACCAAAGACCAGCTCTTCAAATTAAGAGCTGCAAGCAGGAGCCCAGGAAACAGTGCTTCTCTCCTATGTGAGAAAAGCATGTGCTGGGAAAAGGTAGAAGCTTGGAAGGAAGACAGCAGGAAGAATCCTAAAGCTGAGAATGGTTTGTTCAATAAATAGTTGGCACCAGTCAGTGTGAACACTTCTAGTCTGGGGTTGTAAGCAGTCTCTTTTTTCTGATGACTCGGTGGAAGCAGGGCCACACCAAACAGCACTGGTATACCTGGAGAATACAGTCCCTGAAAACACATTGGCCCACACAGAAAGAATAACACAGTAATTTATCAGAAGCACCAAAAGGAAGGCTTATGACCCTTTCTCCAAACCTGTATAAGCTCTATTTCTCCATGTTACTTCCCTCAAAGTTTAGGAGGGCATTGAGAAACACTTAAATTTATGTCCCAGGATTAGAATGCATAAGCCAACTCCAGCCTACGTTCAGTGGTTTTAAAATTTTACTACCTTTAAGAATCATTTGAGAATCACGCAGATTCTTGAGCCATACCAGATTTTTACATTATAGCAAAATAATGAAATAATCATTCATTGGCCCAGGAAGCTGCACATTTTCAAATAATCAGGTGATTCTGATGCATGTGTTCATGGACCACAAACTGAAACCACTGCTTTACTTCTAACAGAGAAAATTTTTCTCATAACAGTTTATCGTCCATCTACTAGATAAACACCAAAGGCCTCCCCTTACATGCCTGAACAAGGACAGGCATACATTTCTTTAATCCACCTGGAAAGGCAGCATGGTGATAAAAAGTTCTCAAGCTTGGTTGCACATCTGAATCACCCAAGAAGCTTTAAAAACATACTGAGACCTGAGTGCCACTTCAGGCCAAGGAAATCAGAATCTCTGGGGGTGAGGTTTACACAATTTTAGAAGCCCTCCAGGTAATATACTGTACAGCTAAGGTTGAGAACCACTGATCCCTAGGGGGCATTATGTGAAGTGTCTGCTGATATCTGGCTAACTAGATCTGGAAATGTCATCATTTAAGTGATGCATCAGCAAGTGAATCCTTTCTATAGGGCACAATTTATTTAATTTATTAGGAAAATTAAATTCTTCACAAATTCTTCACAGAAATATATCTAATTCAGATATATGCATTACACAGACTCCCTTTCTTTATTCTCTTATCATTTGTCACACCCAAGCTGACAGCCCCACTCTCCTATATATACATACCCCAGATTTCCATTTGCTGGACTGGAAATGCACTGTGGAAATCCACAAAGAGAAAAAGCAGCAGAGTCTGTCCCTGAGGATCCATATTCTGAGACTGATCCCCCTCAGTGGATTCCACCTGATAACTCACATCTGGAAGCACCAAATCTAGAGGACAAGATATTGCATACACTTCTAAGATTAGTAAAGCCCTCAAAATACTAAGTGGTTAAAGAACCTATATCCTGAACAAAGAAGGATCTGAGCATAGATCTAAATATGAACACCCATTTCCCATCCTGAACTTGTTTCTCTATTCATATGACAGAAACAAATAATAGTGACTCACAGGAAGAACATCAAAATAACAATTGGGTATATAAAATGCAAACCAAACAGCACTCCCATGCATTTACTGAGAAGTACTACACAATAACTTCATCAATTCCTTGTACAACTTTCTAAGGCAGGTATGGCTCGTAAGAGGCAGAAGTCAGATTCAACTTGATCATAATAATACAGTTAACTTATATTACATGCTCGGTACCATATCAAATTCTTAGGTACTATCTCAATATTTAGACTTCATGACAACACTATGGGGTAGGACCTATTCTTATGCCCTTATATAAATAAGAAAAGAGGCACAGATGGGTTTAATACCTTGCTCAATGTGAGCTAGTAAATGGTGGAACTGAGTTTTAGAATTTACTAGACTGATTTCAAAATCTGTGTTCTTAATCCCAATACTGGGTTATTTGTATTCCCAAGTAATCCAGTGCCCCATGGTCACTTTGTAGCACCTTGATCCTTTATAATATAATCAGGATAGTCCTACATTCCAGATCCATGTAGAGAAGTACCTCCATGTGGACCCTGATTCTGTCATTTAGAGTAATGAGGGAAGGATATGAGGGACATTTCCTACAGTATTCATTTCCAAGTTAACTGAGTACATTCAGGCATCATGAACTGGCAAAAAATAAAGTTAGCCAACAAAGCCTGAAAACAAAAATGAAACCGAAAAAGATATGGAGATCCCTAGAAATTCACTTAGGTCATCCCTCTATTCAAAATCCTGATAGCATGACATCCCAGCTGTTAAGACCATATACTTCCAGAGAACCTGTCCACCTGATGCCTCCTCTTATAGCCATCCTCTGGAATAACTACCCACTCAAGAACAAAGAACCTTATTCCAAGGCTTACTTCCTAGGTGAAGAGTCCATCATTCTCCCTGAGACACTGCCCCACTACAGGGGGCTTCCATCGCCTCATAACAGCCCTAAAATACCTCTTCCCTCCTTGTCATCTTCCTCAGGATCCAACTGAGCAGACCACCTTCTAAGTTTCAAGGGATTCTAGCTAACAACAGTCAAACTCAAAACTGTAAACTTTCTAGACATCAGCCTATGGCTGCATATTCCTGTTTCCCGGTTTTATTGTTGGCTCAGTTATTAACTACTCAGTTTTAGCATGATTCACCCAAAACTAATGTGGTTCAAACTCAACATGAATCCAGCTTCCTAGGTTTAATACTATTACGTCTTGCGTTTATATTGTGTTTTAATGTTTTCTAGGGAATTTTGTTTTTGAGTCAGAATTTTATGTGGATTTTCTCCTTTCATTATGGAGCATTTCTCTTCCACAATAGTTCAAAGGTGTCACTGCTCCTCTGCTCACCTTCCTAAAGTCACACAGTTGACAGATTAAGGTACAGCAGAAACCCTAAGAACAAGTCCCTAACAGAAGGATCAGGAATAGAGGAGCTAGCAGAAGAAGTGAGAGGAGAACCAGCACTAACGTGTAATGCCAAAATAGTCAGGCTCTGATAGGACTTTGCCTGTTTCATACCTGATTGCCTCACTCCAAGTGGTCTCTCAAACTTGGCCAGACCCTGACCCCAACACCCCAACCTAGGCCACTAGATCACTGAGTCCTATTTTTATATACACCTGCTATTTATATTTCCTTTCCTTTCTCAATATTCTTCAAGTTTCTTCATTCCTGTGCAGAGAGAGAGAGAGAGAGATTTACCTCTGTCCAAACTGAGATCCAAATTGGGCACCATACACAAATGGTATTTTTTCCAGTCAATGAAATAAGAGGTGTCTTTGAAGAAAGTAGTAATTGGTTGCTCCCGACTTGACAGTATTAGAGGCAGACCCAAAGGTCCATACAGAAATATGTATAGTTGCTAAAGAAAACTGCCAAATTTTAGTTTCTCATAACCATGCATTCACTTGTAAAAAACGAACATAACACTGACCTGGTTCACACTCCTAGACATAAACAAGTGTGCCATGCAATTACATATTAAGCCTTTTCTACACCAAAGATAGGTGTGAGGCACCAGAGATAGATACAGTAGGATCCCCAGAAATTTCTTTTTTATTTTTTGAGTTGAGGTCTCACTCTGTCACCCAGGCTGGAAGGTAGTGGTAGGATCACAGATAAACGCAACCTCAACCTTCTGGGCTCAGGCGATCCTCCTGCCTCTGCCTCCCAGGTGTGTGCCACCACATCTGACTTTTTTAAAATTTATTTTATTTTTTTTAATAGAGATGAGGTCTTGCTATGGTGCCTAGGCTAGTCTTGAACTCCTGAGTTCAAGCAATCCTCTCTCCTTGGCCTCCCAAAGTGCTAGGATTACAGGCTTGAGCCATCATGCCTGGCCTGAATCCCCAGAAATTTATTCTGGGTTTATTAAGTGTGAGTTATGGGTATAGTATTGGGATAGTTTACTTATTCATCCTATTAATTCAAGCGTTGATTTGAACGGCACTTCAGATTAACAGTATTTTAAGTTCTGGCAATACAAAGATGAATATCCAGATATACCAATCCCTAAGTTTATATTTACAATACAGGTGAGAGACATAAAGGCCAGCAAACTGTGATATATGCTAGCATAGAAGTATATACAAAGGGATATTATCTAGGAAGCACTTGAGTATATTCAAATAGAAAAGGAAACTACCTCTCACTGTCTCCAACCCTGCTCTCTAACTAAGACAAAAGAAGGGGGGCTCCTGAGATGGTTTCCTTCTCTGGACTTCCCATTCTCATGCCATATAATTTTTCATTTGGGGGCGTGGCAGTCCTGTGCACTGCAGGATGTTGAGCAGCCTCACTGGCCTCTACCCACTGGATGCCAGTAGCACCTCTCCTGACATGACCCTCCTGCCATGACAATCAAAAACGTCTCAGGACATTGTCAAATGTCCTCTGAAGACAAAACTGCCCCATTAAGAACCATTGCTTAGCCGGGCTCGGTGGCTCAACCTGTAATCCCGCGCCTTGGGAGGTTGAGGTGAGTGGATTGCCTGAGGCCGCGGGTTTGAGAACCTCCTGGGTAACTTGGCGAGACCTCATCTCTACAATAAATCAAAAACTAGCCAGGCGTGGTAGTGCGTGCCTGTAGTTCCAGCTACATGGAAGGCTGAGGCGGAAGGATCTCCGGAGCCCAGCAGGTCGAGGCTGTGGTGGCCGGGAGCGGCCACTGCACTCCAGGAGTCTGGGCGACAGAATGAGACTCCAATAACCTGGAGTCCTGGAACCAAGGCTAAAGAGAATATATACTTTGTTTTATGTTTCTTTGTTTTCATCCTCCTATTGGGTAAACATAAGGTATTAAGTGTGAAAATCAAAATTCTTACCCAATGGGCACTAGAGCATTATGGAAAGCCACACACACACAAAAAAAGAAAGCGTTACCCACAAATGAAGTCTTCCTCATGAATTTCAGGAGGCATTAACACATGAACTAAGGTCAACTCATTCACTGTTTAGGGCCAGGAGACCTTTGAAATGCTCCAAACTCAGGATAAGAGTGGAATATCTGAAGAGCCAGATTGTGGGTTCTTTAAACTACTTACATTAAACATGAATACAGCTATAATTGGGTTTAAATCTATCATCTTGTTATCTGTTTTCCATTCGTTTTTTGTTATTCTTTGTTTTCTTTTTCCTCTTTTCTATTTTTGGATTCTATTTTGGATAAGAAACTTAAAATTTAATTTTTTTTTCTTAGTTGGAGTCTCACTCTGTCACCCAGGCTGGAGTGCAGTGCCTTGCTCATGGTCACCTCAATCTTGACCTGCTGGGCTCAGGTGTTCCTTCCGCCTCATCCTTCCAAGTAGCTGGAACCACTGGCATGTGCCACCTGGCTAATTTCTTGATTTATTGTAGAGACGAGATCTCAACAAGCTGCCCAGGCTGGTCTCAAACCCCTGGACTCAGGCAATCCTCTTGCCTCAGCCTCCCAAAGTGCTGGGATTATAGGCATGAGCCACCACACCTTGCTTATTTTGAAATATTCTTCACTGGTTATAGAATTTCAGGTTGACAGTTTTCTTTTTTTCTTGTCAGTACTTTGAAGATGTTGCCCCACTTTCTTCTAGTCAACACTGTTTCCAACAAAAAAATCTGCTAAAATTCTTCTTTGTTTCTTTATATATAACATGTCATTCAAAAATCTCCAGATACTTTTAATTTTTTTGTTACTGGATTTAAGCTATTTGATTACATCATGTCTTGGTATAATTTTCTTCATATTTCTTATGCTTAGGGTTCATTGATCATGGATCTGCAGGCTTATAATTTTCATCAAATTTAGAAATTTGGGAGCATTATTTCTTCAAATATTGCATCTCTCCTCTTTCCTTTCCGAACTCCAATTTACACTTTCCTTAGTTAGGCCACCTGAAGTTATCCCACAGTTCACTGATGCTTTGTGCATTTTTTTTTAAAGATAGGGTCTCACTTTGTCACTCAGGTTGGAGTGCAGTGGCACAATCATAGCTCACTGCAACCTCAAACTCCTGGGCTCAAGTGATCCTCCCACCCTCGCCTCCCTAGTGGCATGTATCATCACTCCTCAGCGAATTTTTTTTTTAAGCAGTGAGGTCTCACTATGCTGCCTAGGGTGGTCTTGAGCTCCTGCCTTCAAGTAATCTTCCTGCTTTGGCCTCCCAGAGTGCTGGGATTACAGGTATGAGCCACTGTGCCCATTTCTTTTAGTCTTTTTTTTTCTCACTGTGTTTCATTTTAGGTAGTTTCTATTGCTGTGTCTTTAAGTTCACTAATGTTTTCTTCTGCAATGTGTTGTAAATCTTCCATTAATCTCATTCAGTGCATTTTCATCCTAAAAATTGTAATTTTTATTCCTGGAAGTTCAATTTTGGTCTTTAAAAAAAATCTTCCATGTCTTTATTTAATATGCTCAGTTGTTCCTCTCATTTCTTCAACATATGGAATACAACTGTACCTATTTTAATGTCCGTGTTTCCTATCATCCGTGCCATTTCTGAGTGAGTTTCCGCTGATTGATTCTTTTCTTCATCATGGGTCCTTTTCTCCTGCTTCTTTGCAAGCCAAATAATTTATTAGCTGACAGGCATTGTGAAGTTTCCCTTGTTGGGTGCAGGATATTTTTGTATTTCTCTAAATATTCTTGAACTTGTGAAGCTGTAAAACTACATGAAAATAATTTGAGGCTTTTGGTTCTTACTTCTAAGCTGTATTAAGTGGGGCCAAAGAAGACTACAGTTTAGAGTTAACTTCTCCACTACCCAGTCAAATCCTTCTGAGGACTCTACCTAATACTCTGTGAAATATGTTTCTCATTCAGCCTGGTGGAAACACAAACTATTCCTGGGGTTGTTCTCTGTCTGAAGCTTTCTGTTTCTGTGTCTTTCTTCTTCAGTACTCTTTCCTATGAATTCTAACTATTTGAACCTCTATGAACTCTGTATTTTAATCTCCTCAACTCAGATACACCAGACTCTATTTGGGTATCCCCTCCCTGCACTGTAGCCTGGAAGTTCTCTTTAGGAAGTATGGTCGTGCAATCATAGGATTTGCTTGTTTCTCTTCTTTCCAGAACTGCTGTCCTATGCTACCTGTTTTCATATATACCTAATATATGAAACTGCTGTTTAATATAATTTGTCAAAAGAACAATTAAAAAGTTGTTCAAAGCAGGATGTTAAATCCAATCTATTATTCTAGCATGGTCAGAAGTGAAAGTTCCTAAATCCTTTTGACACAATCTCATTGGTCTTTGACAGCTTCCTTGTTTTCTGGCCCAACAAGATACCCAGGTTCATCTTGTACATTTCTACTCTAGGCATAGAATCAGCTGTTTCTCCTTTTTAGTGAGCAATGTTATTTAGAGGAACACATTCTGAGTACTAGGAGTGCTCATTGCTACTGAATTGTCATTGCCTGTAAGTCTTTCTTCAATAAAAAAAAAACTAAAAAAAATATAATTTTAAAAGTCAGAAATATGTTGGACTCATACTGGCATTTTCCTGCATTTTAAGACACAGTGACTCAGGCCTGTAATCTCAGCTCTGTGGGAGGCTGAGGTGGGAGGATCACTTGAGGTCAGGAGTTCAAGACCAGAATGGGATATATATCAAGACCCTGTCTTTATTTTTAAAAAATTAGTTGGGCATGGTGGTGCATACCTGTAGTACCAGCTACTTGGGAGACTGAAGAAGAAGGATCACCTGAACCCAGGAGGATGAGTCTGTGGTGAGCTGTGATTGTGTCACTGCACTCCAGCCTGGGCAACAGTGAGACTCCAACTCAACTAAAAAAACAACCAGTATCCTCAAACTCAGCAGGCCCTGGAATCCTTGGCTTTCTTGTCCAGTATTAATTCAGATATACATCTTAGCCTCTCATCTGCTTGCTCTAATTGGCAAACTACCCCAGGGCAAAAGCAGCCCCCAATGCTGGGCTCAGCTTTCTGTAATTCAATTCTCTCCTAAATCATGGCATAGAGATTCTTTCCCTTCACTAGCTCTTTGATGCTTTTACAGTGTTTTAATATTTCATCCAGCCTTGGCCTTCAGTGGGATGGTTGGTCTAAATGATCTATTTTGCCATTTTCAGAAACTGAAATCCCACCAGAAGTCTTTATAGCTTAGCACTTTCTTCATTAAATATTACCTCCTTACAGTTTTCACTGACCATATTTAAAATAACATTCTTTAGCTCTTCATCTGTTGTATTTATCTCTACTGCCCTTATCACTACCTAATGCCTATGTGTTAATTTTTCCTACTAAAATGTAAACTCCAAGAAGACAAAAAATTGTTCTCTTATTCCTTCTACAAAATGGAATGAGGAAGAACATTTTTTACTTTATATTCTTCTGTACTATCTAGATATTTTTAAAAAGCATGTTTTATGCCCATGCATAGTCTATCACTATACTGTTTTCACCTCTTCCCTAAAAGATATTCTGGATCTTTTGATATCTGATGTCAGATAGCTGACATCATACTATGTCTCTTCTGCTTTTTCATTTTTTTCTTTCCTTTTTTTTTCAAGTCAGAGATCACTCTCACCCAGGCTGGAGTACAGTAGCACAATCATGGCTTACTGCAGCCTTGACCTCCTGAACTCAGGCAATCCTTCCACCTTAGCCTCCCGAATACCTGGGACTACAAGCGAGCACCACCACACCCGGCTGATTTTTGGAGTTTTCTTGTAAAGATGAGGTTTCACTATGTTGCCCAGGCTAGTCTTGAACCCCTGGACTTGAGCGATTCTCCTGTCTCAGCCTCCCAGCGTGCTGGGATTACAGGCATGAGCTACCATACTCTTCATACTCTTCTATAACTTCATTTATTCCTACAGCTTCAATCATATAATAATAATTATTAATATTTATTGAGCACTTATTATGTGTCACACAGTATGCTAGGAGCTTCACGTGGATGATTATAGTTAATTCTACAAACAAACAAACCCCCCCAAATGAAAAACAACTTTTGAAAGGGAAAATAAATCTATGAGGTAGGCATCATTCTCCCCATTTTAAAGCTTAGGAAGCAAAAGCTTAGGCTGGTTAAGTAAATTGCCTTCAGGCACACAACTAACTAGTGGTGACTTCAGCATTTACTCCTGTGCCATGCTCTAAATACAGGACTGTACTACACTTACCTATAGAGGAAACTGAGACTCTAAAGTTTTGTATCTCTAAATCTAACCACTTTCAAGTTCCACACCAAAATTTCTATATAACTGCTTACCATCTTCAAAGGATGTCCTGTAGGCACCACAAGCTCAACATGTTGCAAACCAAATATATCCTCTTTATTCCTCAAATCTGTTATTAATGTCTTATATCTTGCTTACAGTATCATTATTCTGTCAGCTATCCATGGAAAATTTTTAAACAGCTTTATTGAGATATAATTCACATACCATACGATTCACCCATTTAAAATGTACAATTAAAGCCGGGCTCGGTGGCTCAGCCTGTAATCCCACGCCTTTGGGAGGCTGAGGTGAGTGGATTGCCTGAGC